TCCCTCCCTGGAGAGAAGATGTAAGAGCACACATTACATGACACATGTGACGTCATACAATATACTATTGAAAAATATCTGATAAGGAAGTAGTACGGCTTCAAGAACTCTGTATATTTGCATTCTCATCTGCTAATACCTAGGAATGTACTTCTCACAAAGAGAGGTCTCGACCTCTGCTTGTTTCTTTTAAAAGTAGTCGCAGAAATGTTCTCTAGGAACAGACAGATAAATGTCATACAGGACAATCTGCATTAGCATTGTCTCCCTGACTGAAAAGGGCTGTAAGGGCAAAAAAACCCAACTCAAAACACTGAATAGCTACTGACTGATTAGGAGATAATACAATTTTCTGAGAGCAAAAATTCACTTAACCCTGGAACGAATGTAGAATGACATACCCAAGACCAAAACAGTCCCATGTGAATTACACTTAAGATCTGGGGAAATTGATAGCACCTAGGTCCTGTTACACCCAGAGAAGGTGGCATTTACTTTATTAATTCATTCCCCTCTGTTTTCTACACATTTTCTGTATATAACACTGATATAAACCAAGTATCTCAAACTCCATGTAAGGTATAGTTCTACATGGTAATACTTTCTAGTGGATCAGGGTTATGAGGTTAACACCAGAACAGCAAAATTCTCCACAGGTGAGCAATGGAAACACACAGAATATGGCCAAAATGAAAATATGAATGTTCTCTTACCATCGCACATATTTTTTTCATGGCAGCCTTGAGAAAGAGGAGGGATGCAATGGTAAGGAATTATGAGATGGGCAAGTGATCTATCTCAACTGGATTAATTTCAGTCACACACTCCAGTAGTTATCTTTGTCCTTCCAGCTACATCAGCTTTCTCTGTCCTCACCACCAGCTATAGCCTTGAGACATGAAATATACCCCTGCAAACTCCAAATCCAAAACATTCAGATCCATTAAACATTGCCCCTTTTCTTCGATTAAGAACAAAGAACACATTACATTTTTCTATGTGAAGTATGCTATTAAATAATAGCTTGTACACTAATTAAAGCAAATGTAATTGTGAGAACACACTGACATTGTTAAAGTAAATTACCCAATTCGTTAATAGTTTCATTTCAAGTGACCTTAATTGTATTAATTGTGATATTGAGCAAATTAAATTGAAGAGTATTAAATGCATTGTTCCAGTCTGTCCTTAGAGGATCAACTTTCTCATTATATCAATGAAATGGGAATACTACCTACCATGCTCTTCCAAACTTGTGTCAGAATGAGATGAACGCTGTAACTTGGACTAAAAATGTACAGCAGCTCAGAAACAGTAAACCTAGTTATGCCTTTTCAGTGTAATAGGGCATTTGAAAATGAACAAAATAGTTTGGCAGACGCAATACACAGGGAAAAGGTAGAAGAACAAAGTTTCTGAAATTTCCCTTCATAAACTTTATAAACTAAGTCTCTGCTGGAGACAAAAAAAAGGTAAGATTCATCAGTTTCTCTGATAAAGATCCCTATTTCAGAGGGAATAATTCAAAAATATTGTTAGAATAAAATGCACAATATAATGAAGATTCCTAACACAGAAAATGTACCAAGATAACATCAGCTTACTACAGTTAGCAGCCAACATAACAATGCACATATACATACATATGCATGTAAATTAAAATGCAACCAGATCCAAAAGATATAACCCAAATTCAAAATTTCTTAAAAGAACTAAAATCTTCCATTTGAAGTATCAGACTGCAAAAGTGAGACTCCCCACCACAAACTTCTTGCCAACTATTAAAAATGCTATTTAAAAAATATGAGTGCACATTTTTCTCTCTTGAAAAAAAAATTAGACACAAGGAAAATAGTATACGCCAAATCAACCATTAGAAAAGAACTGAAATACTACCTTATCTGGGTTTTAAAAAATATTTTTAAGGGATATAAAAAAGATCTTGAGTGTCAATGAGTTAATAGCCTATCCTGAATTTGTTAAACTTGCAAAAAAGCGCATTCTCATGACTCATCATAATGCAAGATTCAAAGTTCCTCAGTCACAGAAAATTTGGAGTGCTATGACCTTTCTCCACATGACACTTATCTCATCTGTAATGCTCTACTTCTACTTGTTCAGCCAGGTAACTGTCTCCTGCCTAGCATTCGCAACATTAATCTTTGCAGCTGTTCCTAGTGAACCATGTCTTATTCTTCTCAAGCCACTTCTCCAAAATCTCAAGAATACTTTGAATTTTATGTCTGTCTTCTATTGTACTAACAGCCCTGTCCCAAATAAACCATGTTTTCTCTCTATACCTTCACTGAGATTTTAATATAAGTACTGAGTACTGCTAGACTCAATCAACATGTTTCCAGAATCCTCCCCAACATATCATTCCAAACTGACAGCAAATTAACAAGTAGTAGTCTCTGCACGCAGTTTTCCAGCCAGGTATTCTTAAAAGCAGTAAGTGTATTTCTGAGACTTCTTTCATTTTATTAAAATGCCTTGTGAGAGTATTTCAAAACTCCAGCTGGACATGTCATCTCCTGGTTCTCCACCAAGTTTTGGTATCAGTTGCACATACCAGAACTACAATACTTCATGTAGTTTAACAAAACGACTAGCTCTATGATTAAAGATTTATTTTAAGCATCCTTATCCGTGACATCCTTTATTTTTATTGCCTCATCTCAGTGAAGACTTCTATCCCTCTGCCTCCAAGGTAACCCTGCAAGCATTCAGCACAGCTTTAAAAAACAATTCCCATGTTCTGACATACCACAATATTGCATAGAACATCTCCTCCATATTTCTATGGACAACCTCTCCTCCATATTTCTCTGATCTGTGCTACAGAAGACCCTAAGATACAGATTTTCACCAAGGTGATTCTGTATCATGTCTGAAACTTGAGGCAGAGTTGAAAAACCTCATCTTGAAATACTTTGAGAAGACAATGATGGACAAAGTACATGAACAGGAATGACTGTATGATTTGATACCAAAAGACCTAACACCATCTAAGCATATACTTTATTTAAAATAAAGTATTAGAACTTTGGAGTCTTATTTTGGATATATAAAGTTTCAAATTAAAATGCAGTATGTGTTTCACAGTAAAAAAACCTATGAAGATGAAATGGATGCTTTATATAAAATATTTACATAGATAGAACATAAAAAATGTACCATAGTTGGTAACCTTTATGACTTGGGGAACCATGTATTTACATATCTTTATCTTCGCATGTGCGTATGTGTGTGTTGTGTATATATTTTTAACAGTTGACAGCTGTTTTAGAGCATACAGAGATGCCAAGCTGAATGAGGGTCTTGATTACTTCAAGATTAGCTATCTAAAGTTTCTATTCATTTTAAGTGTTGTTAGTGCGAAGAGTCATTAGTCACTTCCTTGTCTCATAGAACATCAGCATACATTTACATTGTTAATGAACATTTGGGGTAAATGAATTAATGGCACTTTTAAACATCAATTCAGTACTAATAACTTTGTATGCCATAGAAATGTTAAGGTTGGGATAAAAATGAGAAACCTTTTCAGTCAAGGTAACTAATCGCTTCTGGGCACAATAAAGGGTAAAATTAATTTACAGGTTTTTTGTTGGTGGTTTTTTTTTTTTTACAGGGTAAAAATCTTGTTTTTTCTTGAAACAGAGTTGAGAGAATCGATAGTATGTTTTCAAGGAAAAAAATCAGAATAAAAAGCTTATCTTTTCCTTGATGGGACAGACTAGAAGCAAGCTATGTTTCCTCTGGAAAACGGTGATTATTTTAGGCTATTGCAAACATTACCTTCCAGTTTCTAAAAATATGTAAACAAAATGCATTTAGCTTATCAAACTAAAATGGCTCCGTATCGTCAAGATGTCAAATATAATAGAGTAGGAACCCTGACCTAGAAAAGCTATTTCATTTATTCGTCAGGTTTTGAACTACTTCCCCCTAGATTTTCATTCTCATTTTCTGACACTGAAAAAGCTTTATAACCCAACGAAGAAAAAAAGGAAAAAAAATTAGCTCAAAGGAACAATCAAGTTTTACCAATATATTTTAAAGCAAAACATTAGCTTTTTATAAAAAAGTAATAAACCTGACTAAGCAAAACTTGACATAGCTTTTTTAATAAGCACTAGTAAACAGAAGATTTATAGACAGCTACACCAACACAGAGTAGTTGATCTGGATGAGGGACTTAGAAAATGTGACAAAGTTGTTTCAACTCTGTAATTTAAAATAAATTTTTTATTTTGCCCTCCTGGTACATGTGTTCAATGACTGGAAAATTACAGGTAGTTAAGGTGCCACTGTGTATAACTGAGTACTTGAGGAATGTTTTCATGACAAGGACGAGCTTTCTCGTTAAGCTTATCACTTTCTTCAAACCAACTATACTGTCACTACTAGCAAATAAGTAGAAAAGACAAGCAACATAGACATGCATTGCATTATGCAAGCAGTTTGTTCTCACTGTTCATTAGAGTCTTGCAAATACTGCATTTAATTAATTCACTTTAGGTTACATAGTAATTTCTACCTTTAGAGCCTGTTCATTCAATCTTTTTTTTTTTTTAAATAAGATGACAAAAAAGCAAAATCAGCCTTTTTATTTGCATAACCTCATCGAGAAAGAACAAAAAAGAAAAATCCCTAAAACAAAAGCAGTGTAAGAGCCCACACTTGAGAAAGTAATACAAAGTCATGCTGCATTTCAATATTCTTATGCTGAAGTCAGTGTTTGGTTTATGATTTCAAAAGGATGACAGTGCATTAAACATTTGGCTGATGTTTTTGTCTGTAATTGAAAGTTGACTTTTTGTGGTTTTCGTTAGTGTCAGCATGTTCTACACATATTCTCTGAAATGTTCTTTAAGTTGCCCTGTTGAACTTCATGGAGAAAATTAAACAAATTATGACAGATACAGTTACCATGACACACTTATATAAGGTTTCTAGGTATAAAGTCAAAAAAAGCACAGAAATACAAAACTTACCCTCCCTTGGCTTGTTCAAATAACTCTGCAAGGGATCAATGCCTACTTCTTGTTCCTCTGTTTGCAAAGGGTGACTGGTTTCAGACACAGAGTGATACATATTGGCAATACAAGATTCCTGCTTTATCTGGAGGGAAAAAACAAAGAAACAAACACTTCAGCGTTTTGTTAGCTATTTTTCAATCACACAAGTCGATAGCAAAAATCCTTAAAACCTTTCCTTATTTTCCAGGCCTAACATCACCATTAGATACCTAATAGCAGAACAATAGTGTTTCCAGTTGAATATTTTATTATTTGAAGTCCAAAAGAATTGTTATAGCACCTTCAAGTATCACACTGCAAGTAAAAATTCATGTGTGGTTCTGAGAGACTGTAAAGTGGGGCAGGAGCCTCCTTCTTTCCCTTTTCTAGCCTTCCCAATTCATCTTTTAGTCTGATTCCAGGAAGAACTGATGCTAGTCCTTGGGGATGATGAAGATTATAGAGAAAAACTGAGGTGAGACAATTCATCATTAGTCTTCTGGACTTGGGACCTCTTATCCTAGAAAAAATCTCCTTTTAACCACTTCTTCAGAAATTGTAAGTCAAGTATAAGATAACAGAGAGAGGGAAACAAACACATGCAAAAAGACAGACTGAGATAATAACGACTGGTATGATGGCTGATGTTGGTTTTATAAAGATTTGTATTTAGCTTTCTAGAAAGATGGAGTTAAGGAAGCATTTGAAGAAACATCATCAGCTTACAAAGAAGTTTTTCCAAACATTAATGGCAAATGGGGAGAAAGCACAAAACCAAAAGCCAGGAACTAGGTGATGCAGGTTCACCATCTCAGGCTGCTGAATGGTATTCACATCGGTGTCATGCAAGTCAACAAGAACTATGCTACAAGATGACGTGAGGAGTGTTGGAAGCTAGTATTGGCTGCAACGAGTAAGAGGATGCCAATAAAAGGGTGAAAAGCAGATGGTGTTATGGTCCGAGCAGTAAGAAGGAAAAACGACCTTCCCAGTGCATTAACAGTGCAAGAGTATATTTGTCAAGACTGCCTTTTGGTCCCTGTACAGCAATTTATTAACTTGCCACACAAAAGAACTATGCCAGCCAAACAGGTCTGATTTGCCCAGGCACAGTAAGTAGCTACCTATGACTGCGGGCTGAGCTCTAAATAGCACTTACTGTGAACCCTTAGTTTATAGGTACCATAACTTTCTAAGTCCAACAAAATTATATTTAAAGATAAATATAGAAAGACAAACACAAAGAGGTATGCACCTACACTTTCAGGATTGGTGTATTATCCATTTGGAAAAGACTTCAATTACACTTTTCCTTCGGTTCTTACAAGGCATGTCATCGACTGTACATGCTTTATACCTTTGGTTTCCTGTCCATAAATGAAAGGGGACTGGGATTCTCAAGACAGCTCTACTTTCACACACAATTCATCTGCCTGATTTTTGCTAAGTTATGTGAAAAATAATATACTGAATAATAAACAAAGTGAGTCGGGTCACTGTTAGGCATTTTCTTCAAACCAATGCACCCAGACTGTTTCCAAAAGGATCCTCTCTCAGCTGTATTCCCTGAGGTTTTTATCCTTTATCTGCCCCAGCACCTGTGTCAGTGTGGTGCTAAAATGATTGCCCCATCATGTCTCACTACTTTTTAGTTAGAAAAGAACATCTGAAGCTGTTGGGAACAAGGAGCCAGGAACTTAGGAAAGGTAGGACTGCCTGCTTTTGCCGCAGTACACCTTCATGTCAAATTATTACACTCATATAATAAAACACACCACTAAAACACAGAATTGCCCTGAACAACCCTTCGCAGTAGTTCAACTAAACATATTATGAATGAAAGTACACATCATGTGTTTCCTTTGTAATTTATAAACCATAATAATGAAAAATGAGTGTTAACTTGGAGAAAAACATATTTAAATTTGTTAGCCACTTGAATGACATTTCAACATTTACATGAAGTCTTAAGGCTACATAACATGTAGAGAGAAGTTTATAAATACCTGTTTGTAATTTTCTCTTGCTGGACTTTTAGTTGCTGCCCTTGTTCCCTTTGTCATATCACCGTAATTACCTTTCTACTGATCTGTTGACTTTGTCTTCACAAAAATTACAGTTATTTTAAACTGTGCTGCCAAAGTTTAACTTTTTATTTTTATGGTCCTTCAGACATTGCTACACGATCTGACTAAGGCACAAGCCCGAGTGCCTTTCAAACTGGGAACCAGGCACAAAATGATCGTACCAGCCTTTGTGGTTCTAGCAGCCACCGCTCAGTTAAGACACAGTATGCTTCAGATGTATATTGTCTTACATCCATAACACGATATGAAATCGGCTCTGGTAAGTTTATTCTTCTATAGATTCCTCTTCTGTATCCACCTTCTCTTTTTAAATACTCCCCAAATGCCATGTCTTTACAACATGTAAGAGCCATAATTAACTTTACAGACGGTTAGAGCAGTTTTAAACAGCTGAATAGATTTACTTTTGATACTTGCACAGTGATTTAATCAGTTACTTGTGTTTGTTTACGGATACATTTGATTAGTGTTAAAAAAAATATCACTACCTATTAGTCTTGTCACTCCTTAGTCCAAGCAATTTTCTTTACAGTTTTATACTTAAGTTCTTTTGAGCTCTTCCAAGACCAAAGAGAACTATTAAACAATTGTGATTACACTTGGGATCTTACTCTGAGACGGATTAATTCTTTACAGGTTTGTGGTTGACTTGTAATGGCCTATGAACATACTGTTCATATTAAATCAGATGCAATTTAAAAACATTCTCAATATGAAACAATAAAAACATTGTAAGAATCTGACATTCAATTATTAGACTACAAGACTCAATACTGGCTATCTAGTTAAACCCTAACATCTCAAATCTAAAAGTGACTCTATTCCTACTTTTTTTTCCTCCAAAGATGAAGGGCTAAAAAACCCAAAGAACAGGCACCCTTCCCAGCACTGGGAGTTCAACTATTCTTTAATATACATGAAAAAATAATTAAGGCTGCATATAAAACATTTATCTAGTTAGGGAAATGAAGACAGACACTAATCCACCCATCAGCCCAAGGAAAAGACAGGCATATAAACTCCTTGCCTGGCTACTCTGCTTAGGTATGTGAGCAGGGGGAGCCCTCAGGCGCCACCAAGGACAGCATCCCAGCTCTGCTCCTCACAGGTATGTGGAGCAAATCCAGTCTGCTTTCCACTGAAGGCACCTTGTCAGTACATCTGTGACCTGTCAGCCGAGGTACTCAATGGAAAAACAAACTTACAGACTCCAACACAACTCCACTGGATATTAGAATCATAGAATCATAGAATGGTCAGGGTTGGAAGGGACCTTAAAGATCATCTAGTTCCAACCCCCCTGCCATGGGCAGGGACACCTTGCACTAGACCAGGTTGCTCCAAGCCTCATCCAGCCTGGCCTTGAACACTTCCAGGGATGGGGCATCCACAGCTTCTCTGGGCAACCTGTTCCAGTGCCTCACCACCCTCTCTGGGAAGAATTTCTTCCTGATATCTAATCTAAACCTCCCTGATTTCAATTTATACCCGTTACCCCTTGTCCTATCACTACAGGCTCTTGTAAAAAGTCCTCTCCCAGTACCCTTGTAGGCCCCCTTCAGCTACTGGAAAGCTGCAATGTGGTCTCCTCGGAGCCTCCTCTTCTCCAGGCTGAACAAGCCCTTGCTTATAGCACATCATCCTCTCTCCCCATGACCTCCTCCATACCCCACACATGATAAAATACCAACCAGTTTCCATTAGGAAAAACTTAACTCATGTTTACTAACATCTACCTTACTAACAACCTCTTTCTGCCCAGCAGGGATCAACTGCTTGTTGTATTAGACAGTCTGATTTAACATACCCATTCTCATTCGGAGAACTTTTCTTGTTCTCAGCAAGTACTCAGCTTGGAAATCCGTTGCTTCTCTTTCAGACATGAGGAGGTTTGTGCACCTGAGTTTAGAAATTTTTTGCCTTCTGTATTAGCTGCCCTAACACATTATATTATTCCTACCACTCTTACCATAAGCAAGTCTTTTTTACACAATCATGTCTTCATCAGCATTGCCATGCTTCCTGTATACAAACCTGTGAGTTTGGAATCCTTAAGTAATAATATTTAAAACATTCACAATGAAAACCACTTCTTCAGCAGACTGTCAGTGGCAACAGCCTCAACTCAGCTATACTTCATCTTCCATTAATATGCATAAGTCATATCTATCCTACTAGAAATACAAGACTAAGATAAATATCTAAGCGAGATATGCTTCTATCATTAGCTGAACTATCCACAAAGCACCAGTCACCTCTGGACTGGAGTTGGGCAGAACACAGCAAAAACATGTATTACACAAACACAACAGTATATTGCTATAACCAGAACTGTACAAAACAGCAGTCATCTGTAATAAGATAATAATTAATGTTCATATAATAAACTGGTTATAATGAATGTTCACTTAAAAGATGAAAAGTTCAAAATAAAAGCTAACTTTATGGAGTTGTTTTAGCAGTGAGACTATTCACTCCCACCAGAGCAAGTGACAAGACTGGCCTAACCTCAGAATTTTTGATAAGTTTAAAATCAGTATTTCATAAACAAAACGTAGCACTGTTGAACACAAACACTGTACCTTAATTTCAAGTCACAAGACATTCCTTTACCTATTCACTTGCAACAGATGCTGAATACAGAAAAATACAAATATTCAGTATTCAAAGGAGCAGTTTATGGATAACAAGCATTGTTTCAAAAATAGTTACTAAATTCTTTCAGTTAAAAAAAACTAAGACCACCTCATCTGTTTCCCCTTATCAGTGTTTATACAGACCCTTTTAAAATGATTTATTCAAACTACAAACACACCAAAACATATCAAAATTAATCTTGAAGATGTGAAGAGCATTCATACTGTTTGGGCAAATTTAGAAAATATAATCAGTCTCACAAAGGATATTTTGAAGATGTAACTGAGTAGGTGAAAAAGAATTAGGCAATTCTGAGCTTCTAGAAGATCCAGTTCCCCTCTCTTCCCATGCCACAG